AAATGTGAGTTGTGGTTGGAAAAAAAAAAATCTTCAGGCCATTATTCGAGTGAGCTATACTTTATTAATTTAATTTGCTAATAAATAAGAATAACATTGAATAATATTACTTACATATCCCCACCTAATACTATTACAAAACCTAGAAATTCCAACTTCTGCTGTCACTAATGTCTATGAATATGGCTTACATTCTGTTTTACCTCGATACAATCCTTGATTTTTATGGTGAACATCGCTGCGCCGTTTGTGATGTAAATCTTTTATTAATAAACAGAAGGCCTTTGATATTCTGTGCAAGAGAATAACAAATGGTAATGGTTGCATTTGGAGATGGTAAATTCTCATCAACATGCTCCAGACCTGTAAAACAATTTCGCCGAGAGTTTTCTAGACACTGCAAGGTAGTGAACGTCAACGAGCTCTATACCTCCTCAGTCTGTTCTTTGTGTGATGGGTGGTTTGATAAGCATCAAAAATTCTGGTCTGCCAGAATCTGCAAATTAGTCTGTCTGACACATTGGAATCGAGATGTTAATGCTTCCGTAATATAAGGATCATTTTTTTGCACACACTATGGAGAGAAGTTGTCCTAATGATTTTTTATTTGTCAAACTCATTCCTCAAAGTCAATATTGTGTGTAGAAGGTATCTCGAATGTTATTTATGATGGGTTAATTGGTGGCATCAGGGGTATTTTGGTATGTAGTTATAGCTTGGAAACATTGCCGCATATACTTGAAGGCACCGTTACTTGTGTTGAAAGGAAATTGATCACCAAGGACCATGTGATAAAGTGCTGTCTGGCTAGCCAATTGAGAATCTTCAAAACAATCCAAGTCGTTCTTTCAACAGCATTTTGAATTGCAGGCTCGAGATCTTTATCTATAAAAAAATCCTTCTAGTCCAGTTTTGACTATGCATTATTTGTATTTGTTGATTGGAGTCCACACCTTGATGATCTTGATTATTTAAAAGCGTATTGTCAAATAATCAAAGTATGTGAATCAATGTTATCAAGTTATTGAATAACCTCTATTTTTTTTTTAGAAAT